CTGCAATCCTTTCTCCATTTTTTTTTTTTTTTTTTTTTTTAGATCTTTGGGGCATAGACTACGTAGATGCCTGGTGTGTTTCTCTCTTTTGGAGAGATTTTTGCTATATGGCGGATGTGCTCACTAGAGAGACAGGGAGAAATCACCCCCTACAGGGGATGGCCATGCCCCAGTCCCTTCTTCGTTCTCCTCTCAGGACTTTGGGCATGCAACACATGCACCTGGCGTGAGTTTCAGGCTGCCTTGTCTGAGACTCGAACCTGGTTGGTCAAGTGGGAATTCAGCACCTTAACCACTATGCCACCTGCTGGCTCCATCTGGTGTGATTTTTCAAGTCACCAGGTCTGGGACTTGAACTATGCAGTCAGCCATGTGGGATCCAGCCACTCTAACCACCACATAATCACTGGTCCCTGTAATGATATGTGGTTTTGAGTAGTAAACATATTTTTTTTAATTACTAAGTTTATTTATTATTATTATTATTTTAATTTGCTGTAGACACATGTGTTCACCAGAAAGAGGCAGAGAGAGAAAGAAAGAAAGCTACCAGATCTGGGACTAGAATCATGGTTGACCATGTTGGGGAGTCCAGTGCCTTCACCACCATGCCCCCTGCTGGACCCTGTACTGATTTCTTTTCTTTTTTGGGGGGGAGAGGTTTTTGCTATAGGGCACAAGCGCTTGCCAGAAAGACAGAGAAAGACAGTGAGAAATCACCCCCCAGGGAGGATGGCCACGCTGTAATCTCTTCTCTTCCCCTCTCCTCTTGGGATCTTGGGCACGCACGCACACACACCCAGTGTGAGGTTAAGCCACCTGGTCCAGGACTCGAGCCACGGTTGGCTACATGGGAGTTCAGCAACACAGCCATTACGCCAACTGCTGGTCCCTGTACTGATTTCTTGTAAGTCAATCCTGAATTTCAAACATCATTAAAAGTTATTTTTACTTATTCTAATACTCAAAGAAGATCAGTTCCCATTCAGACAATAAGCGCTACATTATTAAACATTAACTGTTTTTATTTATTTAATTTTTTTATTTTTAAAAATTTTGCCAGAAGATGGGCATGCTCACTGGAGGGGCAGGGGGAGTGAGAAAGCATTTACTCTGGGGAATGTAAGTCCACAATCCCTTTTCCTCCTTTTCAGATTTTGAGTATGAACACACATGTACCCAGCATGCTTTTTCTGGGCTGGGTGTGGGAGGGGAGGAGATGGTACCATGTCATTGCCATTGTGACGCACCTTGAGTATAAGGCCCTGCCTACTACCTGCTCTGCAACAGCCAGGAGCCTGAGGTCCTCCAGCACCCCAAGCAACAAGCTAGACCCACTGCTACTGACCTACATGGGTAAGGGGATGGTGGCCCGACTCAGCCTGGGACTGCTGTTCCTGGCCCTGCTTCTACCTACACAGATTTACTCATTCACACCTTTAACCAGCACACTGGATCCTACGTATTATGAAACCACCACGAAGTCCTCCAGCGGGGCCCTGCAGTCTACAGCCAGTTTCCTTGTGGTCTTGCTTATCCTTCTACATCTCTACCATTAAGACATGCAGGCCTAGAAGCATCTCCAGTTTTCTACCTCATTCTAAGCCCCAGTCCAAATGACTGTCTTAGAAGTCCACAGTGGCAAGGAAAAACACCAAGTCTTCATCAAACCTACTAATTCCACTCCTTATTTTATTAACACACAAAATCTTGAGAGTCCCAAACTGCATTGGTTTGAAGACCACCTCAAGAATTTGGCTAGCTGATGAATACCAATGTTAAATCTGCTGAAGTTCGTGCGCAAGGCTGAAGAGAAAGGCAACATCGAAAATTAGTGATTTTTAACATGGCTTAAGAAATACAGACACTTGAACCTCTTCCTTGAAAATAATTTTACTTTATCTGGAGGCAAAAAAAAAGATGAATTGTGTGATGGAGATGTTTTCCTTTTGGTTCATTAAATCTAGGAGGCTATAAGATGATTAGATAAAATATGAATCTTTCTTGGGTCTATTTGTATATACATTGGAAGGACTGCCAGGTGCTTACTGTAAATCTTGTTTTGTTTCAGCAGTCCTAATTTAATGCTGATGTAATCTAGATGGTTTTATATTTTTAAAAAACCTTAAGTTTAAAAAAAATTACTTCATTTTATTATTATTGAGAGATTTTTGCTGTAGGGCATGTGTGCTTGCCAGAGAGAGACAGAGAGACAAAGTGAGAAATCATCTCCTGGGGGAGATGGCCACACCACAATCTCTTCTCCATTCTCCTCTTGGGGTTTTGGGCATGCATGCACATGTGCCCATTGTGAGTTTTAAGCCACTGGGTCTGGGATTCAAACCATAGTTGACTATGTGGTTGTCCAGTGATATAACCATTATGCCATCTGCTGGTTCCAATTATAATTATTGTTATTATTATTATTGTTATTGTTATTATTTTAAAATTTGACCAGAGAAGGAAAGAAGTAGAGAGAGAAATTAAGGGAAAGTGAGAAAGCAAGCCTCCAGGTCAGGGACTTGGGACTCAAACTATGGTTGGCCATGTGGGAGTCTAGCACCTTAACCACTATGCCACCTGGTGGCCCCTTTTATTTTTAAGAATTATTTAATTTTATTCATTATCTTTTTATTGTTAATTTCCCATAAGGCACATGCACTCACCAGAGAGAGAGGGCAGTTGAGAAAACAAGCTGCCAGGCCAGGGATTTGAACTACAATTGGCCATATGGGGGTCCAGAGCCCTAACCACCATGCCACCTACTGACCCCTAGTTTTACATTTTTAAGCTTTCACTGTTCTCTTAGGAACTTAACTCTTTCATATTGGGTTTGACATTGGAGAATTTAACTTTCCTCTCAGGCCTAAGCTTGGGTACACTTGATTCTGTAAAAGTAAAACTTTTACAATTGCCTTGACGTATAGAAGCCTCTTTTTTTTTTTTTGAAAGAGGTTTTTGCTATAGGGCACGTGCACTTGCCAGAAAGACAGAGACAGCAAGAAATCACCCCCTAGAGAGGATAGCCACACCACAATCCCTTCTCCATTTTCCTTTCGGGATCTTAGGCAAGCATGCACATGCGCCTGGCGTGAGTTTAAGCCACTGGGTCTGGGACTCGAACTGTGGTCGACCACATGGGAGTCCAGTCACATAGCCATTATGCTAACTGCTGGTCCTGCAGAAGCCTTGTATTTTTTTTTTTAGAGGTTTTTGCTATCGGGTGTGCGCACTTGCCAGACAGTCAAAGAGAGACAGAGAGACAGAAAGCGAGAAATCACCCCCCAGGGGGGATGGCCATGCCGCAATCCTTTCTCTCCATTCTCCTCTCGGGATCTTGGGCACACACGCACATGCGCCTGGCATGAGTTTAAGTCATCAGGTCCGGGACTCGAACTGCAGTCGACTACATGGGAGTCCAGCAACATAGCCATTATGCTAACTGGTGGTCCCCAGAAGCCTTGTATTTTATTTTTTTGGAGAGGTTTTTCGCTATAGGGCACGTGCGCTCGCCAGACTGACAGAGAGAGAGAGAGACAGAGACAGAAAGCGAGAAATCACCCCCCGGGGGGGATGGTCACGCCGCAATCCCTTCTCCTCCATTCTCCTCTCAGGATCTTCGGCACGCACGCACACGCATCCGGCGTGAGTTTTAAGCCACCGGGTCCGGGACGCGAACCGCGG